GTCATTTTGTTTTAATGAATGTGGTTCTCGTGACATATCTCTGACTTGCTTTCACTGATTATGTTCAAAATTTTAATATTCATTATACATCATGTCATAGATAAACAGATATATTGGTTTGACGATCCTATTCATAATGGCCAAATGGTGGCCATTCTTGTGCTAAAAATACATCAAATATCAAGCATTTCTGGCGTTTATGGATGGATTTTGTTCAAACTTGGTACATACATTAGACATTATCGGTTCCTGATGCACGTCATTTTATGTTTCAGATTGGATTCAAAATGGCTGACTGGCAGCCATTTTGTTTTAATGATTGGGCTTCTAAAGCCATATCCCGTAAATGCTTTGACTGATTATGTTCCAAATTTTATATATTCCTTACACATCATGTTATATATATACATGTATTCAAAATGGCTGATTTTGAATGCTGTTCCAGCGCAATATCTCTCAATATGGACAAGTACTTGTTTCACGATCAGATACAAATGTCAATCATTTTATTGTTTGAAAATCATATTCCTGACATGGTTATATTCCAGCTATATTACTATAAACTAAACTATATATCTTAAATTTGATAACTAACAGGGACTGTGTCATGCATGCATTGTTTTTTAAAGAACCATTCAACAGATTTCAATAGAACTTGATACATACATGCTCTGGAAAATTGGACAGACTTGATGGAGTTTCTACAACGACTATAATTAATTATTGTCTGTTTGCTTTGTTTTAGGTCAAGGTAGTCCGATGAAAAGTAATCCCGGCACTCCGTCCAAAACAAGTACGAATGGCAAAGATCTACAAGAAGATTTCATTAAATATTATAAAGACAATGGTTTGGAAGGTTTTGCAAAAGATGTAAGAATAGATATTTGATATAACATGAATGTGTTCATTGGCGGCGTTTTTACTTCCGTCTGTGACAAAGTAGGGGTGGGTGTGTGTGTGTGTTTCATCTGGTGGAAAGTTATTGACATTAAATAATAATTGCATCATTAGGAGATATAAGTAGATTTGTTTCACCCACAGTATGAACCAAGTCCTACAAAAATGTATAGCTGTCATTTATTGAGGCAAATCAGCTTGGCTTTTTAGCTCTGCTGTCGACTTTGTCAAGCGGAGCTTATCATATGAGTGATTGTCCGTCGTCGTCGTCCGTGTCAATGTTTTACTTTTTCGACTTCTTCTTGAAAACTACAAGCCTGAATGCTTTGATACTTGGTGTATATGTACCTTGGGCAGACCTCTCTCAGATTTGTTCATTTCATGATCATATCTTCAATTCTCTAATTTTGGTGAATATTTTTGTAATTTTTGGTAAAAAGTGATATTTTCGACTTCTTGTTAAAACTGCAAGTCCAATTGCTTTGATATTACATATATAGGTACTACATGTGGATCTCTCT